GACAATGAAAATGAGTGAAAGTTTTTTTGGTAACCACAGCTCCATAAGATGAGAGGAGTACAACAATAAAACCGTAGAGGAGGTTCATAACTTTGATGTTGTTCTTAGTTTAGAGGAGATTGGTCTTTTAAGAGTAAGTTTCTCGAAAAAAATGACAAAAATAATAAAATCTGTTCATCATTTTTTTGGGACTGAACTCCCGAACATATGACCAAAATTTAGGAACACAGGCCTGAACATTGTTTATTTGTTACGGAACCAGCAACTGAACATTTATTATTTGTTTGGAAATGCAGGTCCGAAGAATATGAAAATTTCTTAACACATTGAATGGTCAAAATTGTTAACGCTTGCATAAGTTTTCATTTTTTCAAGTTTAGGAATATAGGCTCGAACATTACTTATTTGTTCAAGATGGCATTCCCGAACAAATAAGTAATGTTCGGGAATGCAGGTCTGAACATGAAAATTTCTTAACACATTGAATGGTCAAAATTTTTAACACTTGCAGAAGTCATCGGAAGTAGCCCAAATCCTTTATCAAGTTCAAAAGTTATTCTTTCATCGCGTAGTCACTACTACAAAAACAGATAAAGATCATACTTTTTTTGTGTGATGTATGTTATTTAATCACACCTTTTAAGTTTTATTAAAGTGTGATCTTTGGGAGTGTGATTAAAAGGGGTCATTTTTAATCACACTTTTTAAGTGTGCTTAATAACATTTAGATTACACCTTTTAAGTGTGATTAAAAATATTTAGATTACACATTTTAAGTGTGATCTTTGGAAGTGTGATTAAAAAGGATCATTTTTAATCACACTTTTTAAGTGTGATTAATAACATTTAGATCACACCTTTTAAGTGTGATTAATACATTTAGAACACGTCTTTTAAGTGTGATTAATAACTAATAAAATCTGTGATAAAAAAAAGATTCGACATATTTGAAAAATAATCAATATTATTTTTGTATGCACATTTGAAGAATGTTCTATATACTATATTTTGAATCATAACCACATATTGAATAGAATAACGTCATATATTTCATAAATGGAAATTAAATATTCAAAAGTATATACAAAAGAATTAAATAAAAAAAAATTAACTGTGCTTACATATATTAAAAAATGAAAAAACTTAAAAAACTAAGTTCTTTAATTCTTGGACCATATTTTGCATCTCTCCAAAAAATTTCTGACCTGAAAAATGAAAACACAAATTAATCCCGAAACCGCTGATGCATATGAATAAACTAAAAAGTTAATTCAACAAACCAAAATAAGAACATTAATCATTTTTGGTTGATCTTAATTCAGCATAAAGGCTAAAATCTCCACAGAAAAGTGCCTACAAGCAGCAGTAAGAGAAACGAAGAGAGGGAGAGTGTCTAATTCATAATTGCCAAATTCGGAAAGTTATATATGAAAGCAACAATATTCCATAGTTTGTTGACTAAAAATATATGAAAGCAACAAAACAAAAACAAAAAAAACCTTGTTTTCTCTTTGCCATGATCCAACATTTCCTAGTGCAACCAACCCCACAAAAGCAAAGTTCGTGGTCATAAGTTGTTCATTAATGTACCTAAAACAAAAATTTTATATCAGATTCAATATCATTATACACTTGATAATGATGAAGAAGATAGTGTAGTTGAGCTAGTAGAGGTAGTTACTTGTCACAGACTAGTAATCAGCCACTAACTGTACCCCGTTGATTAGCATGAGGGAAGTCTTCTGAAAGAGGGAAATCATATGGCCAGCTTTGGGTTTCTATCAACATCTGAATATATGCATATGAGATGAGATTGTTAATTTTGTTTGTACTGATTAGATTTTATGTTGTCAAAAATTTCATGCCCAAAGTAGTACATGTTCTTTGGCATCTTCCCAAAGTGTTAGTATAGCGATCCCGGTTATCCCTTTACTGTTCTGTTGTTTTCTGGACACGGTTCCGTGGAGTTGGTAGTTGTACCTATCGTGTTGTCAACCTTTAAACTCTTTTGTTTGAGTTTTAGAATGTGTTGGGCTTGGTTGTTACAGGTTGGTAGAGCTTTAGCTCCCATTGTCGTTGCCCAGTTTTTGAATGGTCTGCTCGAGCGGGTCTTCTTGCGCTCGAACGGGGTTTACACACTTCCAGTATTTCGTGCCTCTGCAAAACTTCTGCAGATGTGTTTTCTACGCTCGAGCTGGTTTCTTGTGCTCGAGCGGGTCGCGCTCGAGCGGGCTTGTTAGCGCTCGAGCGGGTAGTACTTTTTGGTGGAAGTTTTGGGAGGGAGAAATCTACGCTCGAGCGGACTGGTTTTCGCGCTCGAGCGGATGTACTTTATTCTTGTGTCTTGGCGCTCGAGCGGGCCTTTTTGCGCTCGAGCGTACCTAGCTTTTTGTCCTTGGCACTCGAGCGTTGTGTTCTCCGCTCGAGCGGGAGAGTCGTATATCAGTTGGCAGCTAGGCCATTTTAAATCACTTTTTACATTTCCTTTCTCTCTCTTACTTTCCCAAAACCGATTTTGAGAGCTCCTCACTTTAAAACCTAACTTCTCTCTACGGTTTGATCTAGTAGGAGTGTTTCCCTCACCATGAGCCTTTGTAAGAAGTGTGTTGATCATTGAGGGCTACATTTTGATCCGAGAAATTTGGTATTTGGAGCACTTCCGAGTTTAGCTCTTCTTCTCCTTGGGTTCTACATTTGAGGTAGGGATTTCCTTGTTCTTTTTCAATATTTCATCTATAGATAGACATGTGGTAATTTTGTATTGCATGAAAATCATATCCATGTTGGATTTGTTTGAAATCATGAGAAGGAACCTAGGGTTGGGTGTTTGAAAAATGGTTATGTCATCATTGATGGTTGTTTTGGGCTAATTGGAGTGTAAATTAGCATGTTGTAGTTGATAGAAGAAAAAGCCCTAAATCATATTTTGATTGATAAATTAAAATGGAGTATAGTGAACCTATATTGTAAATCTCTAGTGTTAATGTGAGTTGGGTGAAGGTGTTAATGCCTAAGGGGTTAACTTTGGCTTTGGAATGGTTTGAAATGAATGTAGTGGACTAATGTGAGTTATGACTTTATTATCAATGGAATTGGTTTTGTAAAACAAAAGGAATGTATTTGGTTTTGTGACAACAAAAGGGATGGAGTTGGTTTTTTGTGAAAACAAAGGGAAATGGAACTTGTTTTGTGAAATGGGAAAAGTATTTTTGAAATACGTATGAAAATTGGATTGTTGTTTCTTGAGTGTTGAACATACACATGTGTGGGATTGTATCTTTAACTACCATGTTAATGTTGTTGTTGGGTTTGTGGTCTCATAGTAATTGAGTCTTTAATAGATGTACTAAATATTTGCATCTAGAGGTTTTGTCCTTGGTCATCGGTGGAGGATGACACAGTTGTGTTGAATTGTCGTGTATGCATTATACCATTATTGATTGAACATCGTATGTGATGAAGTGTTGAGATAAATTATATATGTATGCTTGCTCGGGAAGAGGTTGTTATGTGTTCATATACTTTAACACATTGCTTGTATCTTGATGGTTTGTGTATATGAGTTATACATGTTGATTATGCCCTGTTGTGTTGGGTTGGTGGTGTTATACCTTGCGCTAAGAATTAGAGGTACCGTGACCTTCCAGCTAGCGCCTGAAGAACTGACTGCACTGAGAATATAAGGCACCATACCCTTCCAGCTAGCGCCTGGTAAACTGGCATGTTGTTGTGAGAGGTGTATCGTTGGCTTACTACGCACATAGCTAGTAGAGCAAAGTTTTGTTGTTGATATTTCAGTGTGTCTGGGAATATCATGGATTGTGCCAGTTACAGTTTTGGAGGGCCGAGTTGCCTCATTGTTTTATCTTTTGCATGTTGGTGAGTTGTTATCTCCCTTTTTATACCGGTGCATGTATAGATTTGATTGTATCGGGAAAAAGCCAAGATGTCATCTTTGTCTTTTGGAAAGTGTGAAGGAGAACGGTTTTTTTTTTTTAAAGAAAATATATATTTTGAAAAGGCATATCTGTGTATGTTTGGAGAATGGAAGAGAGTAGTGGGCTTAGTGAAATTATTTCCTAAGGTATTGTTAATGTTATGAAATATTGGGAATGGGGATTAACGAAAAGAAAAGAAAAGAAAATTGAATCGCCTATGGCGTTGATTGAAATGGTCGTTTTCAAGAAAAGTTCATACTTATGTATATTTTGTATAAACTGTCACATTACTATTCTAGTATGAGATTGGGTATTCATGATCATAGCTATCTGTATGTTGTTATTGTTGAGGGACATGTTGAGATCCCTACTGGACTATATGTTCATCCTACGTTGTTGAATCTTTTTCAGGTGTTGAGCTGAATGTGCTGCAAGATTTGGATCTTCTGATTTGTTGGCCACAGGGCCTCTCTTATATGGGCGGAATGCCATATTTGAAAAAGGGTTGCACCCTTCTTCTTGATTTGTTGTTAATGATGTAAGCCCAAGGGCAATTTATTTATTATGCTCATGTTGTATTTACTTGCATACGAATGAGAGCAGTGTTATTCACTTCTACGAATTGAATATATGAGTTTATTTCCGCATGTTATCTCTGAAATGGAATTAAGTAAATGAAATCGGTAATACTTCGAGTAATAAAAAGTGGGGCATGACAGTTAGGGCATCCTCTTCGACTGAAACTGAGTTTAGATAGATCAAAACAGGGCCAAACACCTTCTTCCATGGCTCGCCATCTCGTAATTTTATTGTCAGATTGCCCCCAGCATAATGGGTGCTGAAAAACATCTGAAGATAAATAACACAATCCTTTAATATTAACATCTAGTAGTAAGGAAATTTGTAAAAAATTATTTATATATAACATTTTCCACTTATTGAAAGTGCAAGGTTGTGCCTCAATAAGATAGATTTAAGTAGTAGGTCGTGTGCTTAACTGGAAAGTTATGCTCTGTTCTCCATAAATTCCTTTTTCAGTCTAATTGTTGTGAAGTAGTTTTTCCTATGGATGTCATCATCATAATACAAAACAATATTTGTTCTTTTAGGCTTCATTTGGGAAGTGGGAATTGGTCAAGAATTTGCATCTACATATATTACTTTTTTCGGTTTTTTTTTTGTTCTTGTCATGAAATTCATTTTGTAAATGGGCCACTGTGTTGGGCCAGCGAGTAAAATTGATGCCATTTGAAAGTGTGCTCTCTTGCAAAGCATGATATCTGAGTGATTAATAGCAAAGGATTGTGCAAAGGGAATAATATCGGATACTTACAGATAAGGTGGTTGGGCCAACATGCGAGGTGAGATCTTGCTTGACAGGGCCACCTGTACGGAACTCAATGCTGGGTGTGATCATCCAGAATCCAACAGTCGGGTTGGAGCATATCCACCCATGAACCCGATTGTCTTTGTCATCACATGAATATTGGTACTTATCATCCACCTACATGACACAACATCAAAAAAGAAAAAAAAAAACTAGCATATCTAACTACACAAATGCAATCTTTCCTCTTGTGATTGTCAAGTCTTCATGAAGGAACAAAAATATCAAGAAGCAAACACTCTTGATGAATCACAAAAGGGCATTTTTGTCAATTCACAAAACCATTCCCACAAAACTTAGGAAATAGGATTGTCTTAACAATAACTAGTAGGTGAATGAAAAATGGTCAAGCTTACCTCCCCAGTGAGCTCTGGATTGCTTGGATTTGTCAACAAAACAGCTTCAGGGTAGTCAAGGACTAGGCTAGCTTCACGGTCCTGTGGCGTTGGCATGATCCTTTTCCTTTCATCCGATATAGCCATGTACTGAAACCTAGTCATGTATCATATCAAGATTAAATTTTCCTTAAATTACTCTGTTCATGTCAAACCTAGTCAACAATTTAGAATAGTAGGACTGTGAACCATGTCTATATAAAAGTGTGGTTCCAAAAGAACTAGGATAAAAGGCATGTCAACATATGAAACTCTGTTAATGTACTGCGGCATTACAACCTAATAAATGAAAAACATAATGGCCCATTAGATCTGAAAATTTAACACTGACTGACCGACTGACTGACAGCTAGGGTATATAATCTCAAACCAGTCTTCACCTATTTGAACCCTAACCTCAAAAACTGGGTCGGTTTAACGAAGGGTTGGCAGGTAAGCAATTTCTGTATCTATTGTTTATTTTATTTTATTTATTTTTTTAAGTCCAATGGAGATGCAGGATGAGTCTAGGATTTATTGAAAGAAAAAATAATAATTTCCTTGAAATTTCTGCTGTGGAATCCTATAATAATCCTAACAATCATATGTCCTCAATAACCATCATCAAAACATTCTACTACAACTACACTTACAGATTGCAACCTTCATCTTTACAAAGTATTCAAGGTCCTCCCTCAATCAACATAAAAAGCTAAAATAGTATATTAATACAGTTATCGTTACATCACATTCCACTGAAACACCCCACCGACACATGTCGACACTCCCCAAGATGTGTCCTATCTTATTATTTTTAATTTTTTTTTCAAAAGACATGTTTTGGATACTTAGGATACACAAGTGTCAATCACATAGAGATGCATGGAAACACATTGCATGTTTGAAGAAATAACTGGGAATCGAATGATAAAATAAAGTAAAGAAAATTTATGCCTATTAATCCCTCATCCTTAAAACTTTTTTGTTTTAGAAATTCTAAAACCCAAAACTTCAATTTATTTCCTACTTCAGGATAAAGGTACATACCTGTAATAGGACAAATAGAATTGCTGCATTTGCAGGGGCTAGAGAAAGGCTCATCATCCCTCCACGCAACTCATTTGGTACATACCTGTGTATGGAACAAGCACCAGAGGATATATCAAAAGTTTCTCTCAAATAAACAAATAAATGAATGCAATAACATCCCAACAAGTAAAAGCCACAACCAACTAGCAATTAGAAGCAAAGAAGCACTAGTATAATTTACATAGTCCTCAATCTGGTAAGCGATGGTAAAAGAAGGCCAACACAAGCATGAAATAAGCAGAATAGTGCTACAAGAACTCCAATTTCCTGCACATACAAGTACAAACTGTAAAAGTTCAAATCCAATTTTCAAAAACAAAATATTAGGTAAAAATAAAAGAAGTGTTCTTCAAACAATCATAATTAGAAGTTTCGATACCTGATAATCGTAGGCCACTATGGACAAAACAAAACCCATTACTATGAACACATATACCAGGCAATCCTCAGTACCAAGAGATAATGGTCCACTGAAAAACCATGGAAAAACTGTGCTTCCTAGCATTCTGGCACCCAGAAAACAAGGATATATCAACCCTAGATGTACTTCTCGCTCATCAGCCTAAAACCACAAGAATATCATTTAAATCAATTGGTAGTCAATGAAATTGTTGCTACATAGTGTTATTGGAAAAAAAAAATACCAGATGGAGTCTCACTATTATGTAGCACTAGAAGGGACAATCTTTTTTATTGTCCAATAAAACATCACAATAGACTGAGGTACCTACCTGCTCTCATTCTCAAAATTGGCATAGATAACAGGTGGCAGAAAAAAAAAGAAGTAAATATAAGATCCATTAATAATAATTTGTCCTTTTGACATTCCAAGAACCAAAATTGCCAACTAATTGGGATGAAATGAAAATAGACTTACAAATATATTATGTATATATCATGCTACAGACTCGATGTTAATTGAACAAACTTATGAATTCAAAAAACACAAAAGGTAAAACAGACAAATCAAATCTATTAATAACTAACTTTCACCTCCTTTCAACAGAAGCCACTGGATGGGAGGAGAGAGAGATCCAGGACCATCAGAAGCAACAGAAAACCAGCTCAAGCTACTTTGCTGTAAAGGATCTGGTCTCTAAACCAAAAAAGAATTATATTTTTATATTTTTAATCTATTAACCTACAATATAAAAAATAAAAAAATATTTTATAGTAATTACACAACAAATGATACATCATACGTATAAGATAATGTTAGACACAAATATATGAGAAGTGTCTAATGAAGTATCGGATACATATCTCATACTATAGTGTCCGATACAATTTTTTGATTTATTTTAAAGAATTCATATAATATAGATCATGACTTAAAAAATCTTGTACTCTGGCTCCGGCTAAGGCTTGGGCTTGTTTTGGAAGCAAATATATATGAAGAATGAAATTCCTACTTTTATTGGCAGGTGGAATCATTTGCTACAGGGTCTCAAGAATCACATGACCCATCCAAATAGTTTGTATTTTGTTGGTTTCTCCTCATTTTGTTTGTTTCTTTTCTTGGTGGATCACATTAACAAAAAGGATCGGCTATAATGTTTTTGGAGAAGTTTGAGATATCAGAATTAGGGTCTCAGAATTTACTCAGAATAGGAATGTATGGTGGAGATTAAATTCATGAAATGTGAGGTCCACGAGTGAAATAAATTTAAATCATTAATTGTTATTTTTAAATAAATTCTGAATTTATAATATTGCCGATTTTTTTTTTTTTTAGAGCTCTCCTTCCTTCCTCTTAGGATAGTTTGATGTCAGAGATTCTTGGATGTAAAGAAAAACCACCACAGTTACGGATTATATAAACAAGCATTATACCAATCCATACAAGTTAAGATATATGAACGAAGAGTACCACATTTTCTACATTGTATATAGCCAGAGCTATTTTGGAGATACAACAATACAATAAATAGTGTTTGGTGTAGTTTAGTTAAAAATTCATAATTTAAAAGTAGAAGCTATAAGTATTTTCATTGCAGAGACATGTATTCAGATTCAACACAACGAGTGAACATTTTTCAGCTGATAAAAGTCAATGGCAAGAGGAAATAGTGGAATGACGGAAGAGAATGTTACCTGGATAGAACAGAGAGAGAGAGAGAGAGAGACTGCGAGCTGTGCAATGGCGAACGACTAGGGCACGTTTGCCCTTTCGGGTGCTCCTCCGCCGCTCGCCGTCGATCGAGAGAGAGAGGGAGGGTAAGAAGAGATTAGGGATTTTTGGGTTTGAGATTGGGGATTTTTTGTTTGGGGGGGGAGTGGAAAAAAAAAAAGGTGGGGAAGGGAGCGGGAATGGAAAACATAAAGGGGTGGGAATAAAAAATAATTTTTTTTTTTTTAGATATGAAATTTAAATAACTAAATAACGTTGTTTAACTTTTTTTTTTTGTGACGGGGGGTTGTCGTGGTTAAAAAAATTATTTTTTGTTAAAATATATATTTTTTTGTAGTTAATGAATTTTTTTTAAAAAAAATCTTTTTTTTTTAGTTACTAAGATTGAAAATTTATTTGTTTCATTTTTATTTTAATGAAAAAAAATATTATTATTTTTTATTTGGTAGAAGTAGGGGTAAAAAATAAATTTGTTTTTGTCAGAAATGAAATTTAAATAACAAAATAATGCCGTTTAACTTCTTCTTCTTCTTCTTCTTTTTTGCGACGGGGATTGCCGTCGTCAAAAAAATTTATTTTTTGTTAAAATATATATATTTTGTAGTTAATTAATTTTTTTTAAAAAATTCTTTCTTTTTAGTTACTAAGATTGAAAACGTATTTGTTTCATTTTTATTTTAATGAAAAATATTTTTCTACGGCCTATTTTTTTTTTGTTATTAAAAATCATGAACTAATTTTTTGTGGTAGAGGAGAGGGAGTGGCAGTAGTGGTGAAAGTGGTGGATAAGAGATGATGATGGTGGTGGTGGTGGTGGCGACGAAGGAGATTAGTGGTGAAGTTATGGTAGTGGTAGAGTAGATGAAGTGGTAAGGGTGAAGGAGAGGTAATGGTAGTAGTAGTGGCAGTAGTGGTGAAGGTGGTGGATAAGAGATGATGGTGGTGGTGGTGGTGGTGGTAGCGAAGGAGATTAGTGGTGAAGTTGTGGTAGTGGTAGAGTAGATGAAGTGGCAAGGGTGAAGGAGAAGTAATGGTAGTAGTAGTGGTAGTGGTGGCAATGGTAGTAGTAATGGTAGTCGTAGAGGTGAAGTGGCGACAGTGGTAGTAATGGTGGTAGTGGAATGGCGTTTGCAGTAGTAGTGAAGGTGGTAAAGGACATGGGTGGTGAGAGAGAGAGAGATGAGTGAGAGACAGATAGAGAAGAGAAAGAGAGAGAGACAAAGACAGAGTGATGAGCGAGAGAGAGAGACAAAATGGTCGCTAAAAGTGCATTTTCTTGTAGTGGAAAGATAAATCGAGAGGGAGCTCAGTAAATAGAGAAGACGGAAAGGAGAGAGTGAGCAACGCGAACACAGTGGGGGGGAGAGAGAGAGAGAGAGAGAGAAAGAGAAGAGAGAGAGAGACAAAAAGATAAAGAGATAGAGAGTGAGAGACAGAAAAAGAGACAAAGAGAGAAGAGAGATGAACGAGAGAGACAGAAGAGAGATAGAGAGAAGAGAGATGAGCGAGAGACATAGAGAGAGGAGAAATAAACGAGAGAGACAGAGAGAGAGAGATAGAGAGAAGAGAGATGAACGAGAGAGATGAACGAGAGAGATAAGAGAGATAGAGAGGAGTGAGATGAGCGAAGAGACAGTGAAAGAAAAGAGATGAGAGAAGAGATAGATGAGTGAGAGACACAGAGAGAGAGACAGATAGACAGAAAGAAAAGAGTGATGAGTGAGAGAGAGAAAGAGAAGAGAGAGATGAAGATGAAAAAATGGGTGAAAAGATATAGACAAAGAGAAGAGAGAAAAAAAGAGCGAAAAGAGATAAACGAGAGAGAGATGAATAAGAGAGATAAAGAGAAAAGAGATAAAGAGAGAAGAGATGAAAGAGATAGACAGAAGAGAGATGGACGAGAGACACAGAGAGAAAGAGAGAGAGAGAGACAGACAGACAGACAGACAGACAGAGAAGAGTGATGAGTGAGAGAGAGAAAGAGAAGAGAGAGAGAGACACAGAGAGAAAGAGAGAGACAGACAGACAGAGAACAGTGATGAGTGAGAGAGAGAGAGAGAGACAGAGACAGAGACAGAGAGATAGGAAGATGAAAAAATGGGTGAAAAGATATAGACAAAGAGAAAGAGAGAGAGAGAAAAAGAGCGAAAAGAGATAAACGAGAGAGAGATGAATAAGAGAGATAAAGAGAAAAGAGAAAAAAAGAGAAGAAATGAAAGAGATAGACAGAAGAGAGATGGACGAGAGACACAGAGAGAAAGAGAGAGAGAGAGACAGACAGACAGACAGACAGACAGAGAAGAGTGATGAGTGAGAGAGAGAAAGAGAAGAGAGAGAGGAAGATGAAAAATGGGGTGAAAAGATATAGACAAAGAGATGAGAGAAAAAAAGAGCGAAAAGAGATAAACGAGAGAGAGATGAATAAGAGAGATAAAGAGAAAAGAGAAAAAAAGAGAAGAAATGAAAGAGATAGACAGAAGAGAGATGGACGAGAGACACAGAGAGAAAGAGAGAGAGAGAGACAGACAGACAGACAGACAGACAGAGAAGAGTGATGAGTGAGAGAGAGAAAAATAAGAGAGACAGACACAGAGAGAAAGAGACAGACAGACAGACAGAGAAGAGTGATGAGTGAGAGAGAGAAAAATAAACAGACAGACAGAAAAGAGAGAGAAACAAGAGATAAGCGTAACGCTTGCAGAAGTTGTCATTTTTTCAAGTTCGGGAATACAAGCCCGAACAAATAAGTAATGTTCAGAAATGCAGGTCCGAAAATGGAAAATTCTTAACACATTGAATGGTCAAAATTGTTAATGATTGTAGAAGTTTTTTTTTTTAAAGTTCGAGAATACAGGCCCGAATATGAAAATTTCTTAACACATTGAATGGTAAAAATTTTAACACTTGCAGAAGTTATCGGAAGTAGCCGAAATCCATTATCAGGTTCAAAAGTTATTCCTTCATTGCGTAGCTTTGATAATATTGTTGTGTAGTTCTCTGCTGAACTCACAATTTTATAATATCTACCAACAAAATCAACCAAATCAATTATTTTAATTTTTTTCTTGCAAGAGAAGAAATTATTACGAGAAAACTAAGAAAATATGTATATATGTATATAATATATATATATATATAGAGAGAGAGAGAGCATACCAACTGTGATAATGGTGCATGAGGTAGCAGAGACAGTAATCACATTGGCTCTTCTTCTTCTTGGTGGGTTTTGTTAAGGTTTTTTGGAAGAGAGGTTTTTTTTTTGGGTGGGGAGGGGGGTGTGGGAGGTGTGCATTCAATGTGTGAAATATTTTTTCAAGGATAATTTTGGTATTATTTGGGGAGAAAAAAGATATTTTGAGGGTTTCAAAATTTATAAGTGAGGCCCAAAGAACTTGGGGGTCCAAAATAATTTATGGGATGCTAATAGCACCACTCTTTATTTTTTATCAACTATATTTGAAATATCAACAAGCACACAAAAGACAACAATAAAATGAGTGTAATTTAGCCGACTAATTTGGTCAAATTAGGTTAGTTTGCAATAAATTTTGAACCGCATAAATTTAATGTAATTTTTAAGATGGTAGTACAACAAAAGAAAAAGTGCTTTTTATATATTAATTTGAAAGTTCTCAAAAAATATATATATATATATATGTATGTATTAATTTTAAAATCTTTTTAATTTTTAACTTTTTTTAAAACACTTTTTCCAATACTAAAACAATAACTAGCATTTACCATAATTAAAACACTTTTTCTTGTAAGATAAAAGCTGGTAATCAGAAAGATAGCATAAGCTAAAGTAAGAAACACTTTTACCTCAACTTAGATAATCATATATATATATTTTAATTCATTTAAATTATTTATATCTAATAAACTGTAAATCCAAACTGGAAAAAAAAAAAAAAAAAGGTGTGAAAACAAATTCCCATACAATTCACAATGCCACAACTATATTTATCAATTTTTTTTGGATGGGCTAGAAGTTTAAAGGACCAATTATACCAGGTTTGGACATTTTGTAGGAAAACTATTAAAAGACTATAGCATCTCTCAAACATTTGCAATGGCTAGGACCCCTGAATCAGCATCATCAACAACCTGTCTGACCAGGGACCAATCTATGATGATACTCATGAGGAGCCAATAAGAAAAGGTGTTTAATGTTTACTACAATATACATAGTGATACTATTCCTATAATCACGACTCTCATTTGTAGATTAGAAAATAATGACTTCTTAATTTTAAGTAGGATCAATATATTTTTTTAAATGAAAATCCTGATTATGCTTCCAAAATCCATGAACAAAACCATTTTCTACAATTATAATCTTTTGATTTTTAAGGCATTTCGCATTAATTTTTTTTGTATTAATATTACGATGATTGTATTCTTTGTAACCATAATTTTTAACTATCTCATATGTTAGTACTCTATTAATTTTATTGAACTAACGACTTATGCTTGTGTTAAGTAAAAAACTAAAAATATTAGATGTATGATTGGGCCAAATTTGCACGGTCTAATAAGGAGTTTTATGTTTGTCCAAGATTAGCCTGAACATCGGGCTTATATGATGGGCTTATATGATCAACTTAAGACAACTCTAAAGAAATTTGTAATTCCCAAGTTAATCCATTGGACTTATATATGTACACACTAGAAATAGGTGCAAACATTATGTTTGTTATCTAAGAGAATTAGATGTGAAGCAATTGAATAAGATAATAGAAGTTAGTTAAAGCGGTTGGATAACAATTACATGGGGAAGAGTATTTTACAGAAAAAAAATTCTTGTGATATTCATACTAATTCAAGAGTTGATTTTGTGTAATAATATAGATGAGTAAGAAAAAAAGAAAAAAATTTGACAGTGGTTTTTGTTTTTTTAATAGATGGAAAGAGGTTTTAAAGCCAAAAAAGAAAACAATCTAGCACTAGGAGGAGGAAGCTGACCTCAATGAACCCCGATCAATGGAGAAAGATATGATCACCGGTGGTCCTCTTCCATG